GAGAAGCCAGGCTAAGCTCCAGCCTTTTCACACTGCTCTGATGGTACAAGGCAAATAGCTTGACTAGTCAGCTTGGCAGCTCAAGCAACTATAAATAATTACTTGATTGAGACTAAATAAAAAAAAAGAAATCCAGCCCAAACTACAACAGCACCTTAAAATAAACTTCATCACGTCTTGCACTCCACACGACCAAGATGTGTATTAAATTAAACATGCAGTACCATCACTGATGGTATCATTCCAGGGAAAGCCACAGCTGAGGAAGGGGCTTCCCATGAAAAAATTCCATCCCTCCCTGACTTCTTCAAAGTAAACATTAACCCTCTAAATTTCCCAAAATTAAAATGCTTCTTGTGACAAGAACTCAAACTATAAACAGCAGTTACCAAATGGAGAGAAGTTACTACAGAATTTTAATGGAGGTTTAAGAGAAAAGAAGGAATTATTCAATCAAACAAGGAATTAATGTCATATATATCTCACACTTTGGTGAAGGAGTGAAAATTCCAAGTCTTGCTGTAGAAAAGCAAGAAGCATCAACAATTATTTTTGTGTATGTAAATAAGAGGCTGCATTAATGCCTTACTAACAAGATACTATCTTAGGGGTTGTGCAGGATAATTAACAGTGATCATGAAAGATCTTTTAAAATCTGCACCTGAACAAATCCACTAATGGATACTAGTAATGACTGAAGACTGATGTAAATCTATATTTTAGAATTTTAAAATATAATTTGATTACGGGAGAAATTTCCAGGAACTACACAAAAATTGCCACGTTAAACGAAAAGGAAAACAAATAAGTGATGGATTATAAAACAGCAAACAGAAAGCAGCAACAGCTCCAAATCACAAACATTTCTTCACCCTGGGGTCTGTCACAGGACAGCACAATTGCATTTCTCTGTGGCCTAATTTCCTGTATTTTGCACTACTGAAAGAAAGCAGGCAAAAATGAAGAACTGGTCTAATGACTGTATAATGGATCAACTGGAGAAAAAAACCAATTCTAGATGTTCTGACTTTGCAGCAAATAATTTCTCAAGCTCCAAGCATAAATAACAGTGTTTGCATTTAACATACAGTGTACAGCATATGTTTGCAAAAGTAAGCAACCGCCTGTGTTTACATGAGATACACGATGCTCAGCTTGATTTGCATATCAGAGATCAGGCTGTAAATCTCTGATGATATTTACCACTGGATAATTGAAATTAATCCTGCCAAAATGACTTTGACAGTCCTGAATTTACAGCCTGAGAAAGCAGCCCTGGAGCTGCCTCTGCTGAGCGATGAACACGACTGGCTGTGTTTCTGGGGTTTTTATAATTTTTCTAAGCACAGCAGGTACATCAGTTACCTTCTTAGTTACCTTCCCTCTCTGCCCTCACCTCCCCAGTGTTATGTCATTTTCTTTTAATGTCCTTTAAAAGTGGCCAGTTCTCCGGGCAGAAAGCCTCGAGACATTCCAACACCACAACTCCGACTCCCTCCAATCCTTCAGTAACTTGGATCATGGTTGTGCCTCAGCCCCTGCCTGTGTCTTCAGGGCAGGAGGAAGGTGCTTGGATGTTTGTTTGTTTTCTGTTTTGTTACCTAAACTCAGATTGTCTCTTTAAATAGAAGGCACATAAGTTGCCCCGGAGAACAAAGTGGTTAACTACAGAGCTACCTGACATTATCCTCCTGTCAGGAATGTCTCTGCCTTGAGGTGTGATCGACACTTTCAACACACACAAAAGAAAAACATTTGTGAATGTTATCCATAGCGAAAGAAAATACTGTTAAAAAGACCAGAACTAGTTTCACCTTCTCAGAAAACAAATTTCAAATATTTAGTAGGCAGAATTTTCTTATCACTGGCAAAGAATTATGTAATTTATTAAACCTTTTCCAATTTGAGACATGTTGCATCTTGTGATGATTGTGAAAGTTGCACCTTGGGATCTGGTGCTAAAAGAAAGCAAACAGCCTCCCCAATTTCTTGATACCAAGTTTTCAACTACAGAGAATGCTGTATATTTTTCAAAAGCAACATTTATAGACAGAAAAGTATGTTTCTAATGCACAAAAGAGGCTTTTTTTTGAAGCCTGGAAATAAAAAGACAACTGCCACCCATTACAGAAATGGATGCACTTTTATTTGTAGCATTTATTTACAAGATAGCTCTTTCAGAAAGGTGGCAGTGATAGCTTTGATATTCATCTTGCTTTTCTCCCCCTACAACCTTCTGCTTTCCAGGACTATATGATTGGAAAGCAGGCATCCATCCAAATATGTAATATTAAGGAAGAAAGACAGCTCTCATTTATAAAATCTTAACTCCTTGTCAGTGGAAAGAATAAAGCCACTAGATTAACTGTGATCACTGATTATTTTCCTCCCACAAGTATGTTATCCTGTGCTCTGTCCCCTGTGCAGAGCTCGTGTCAGCTGGCAGACACCTGGAGAGGGAGAGCGCTGCAGATGACAACTGGATAAGCACATATTCTGTGGGGATGAGAAGGAAAATAACTTCCTCGGCATCACAAGCCCTTGGGGAAAGCTTGCTCCACCCTCCTGACCTGCTGCACACCCCCAGCCTGCAAGAGTCTGCAAGAGGCTGCACATTTACAGATGACGCAGCTGGTGTCATCTGTAAGGGAGAACTCCAGGCACGTAACAAATTTACAGGGGGACACCCTGGGAAACAGCTGGGATCAGTGTTCCAAACTCAGCCAATTAGCCTGGCAATTAGTACTGCAAAGCCAAAATTCACTGCAGGTTCTTTTGTAGAGCATCTCCATATATAAGCACCAGCAAATGCACAATCCAGTGGAAACCCTCATTAATCTGTCACTGGTTTTCCCTTATTTCCAAATCCCACCATATATTCTGCAGGGGCTGATTTTCACTGGAATTAGCCAATGTGGGCATAAGGCTGCTCTGGAGTCAGGTCTCCAGGCAGGATGTCTTAAGCCTGAAACAGCCTCGTTTTCTTGTCATCAAATCCCTTTTCCAGAAGCCCTTCAGGAGTATCTCATTTCCCCACCGTTCTCGTTCTGTACTAAGTGCATATCCCATGCACACTTCTCCAGCACATCCTACAGATTCATCTGAACAGGCCAGCTAAACAGAACTCAACTGGCAATGGACTGAGGCAGTGGAACATAACCCAATGCAGGATTTTACTGGCAGCAGGCTGAAAGCCCACCAGTGAGGGCTCCCAGTGAGGCGCTCTTATTCCCTGCTCTCAATACTCCTATTTTAATCAGACGGTGCCACGTTTTTCTGCCACCTCCTGCTGCCTTTAGCCACCCAGATTTCTGCATGACTTCAGGCTGTAATCATTCTAGGTCTGTAACTTGCCTTTCCCATCGTGGCTGTGTCCTTACTCCCCTCATGCAAATGCAAAATGCAGATCAGATAGACTGGGGGTAGAAGATGAGAGCTGCTGATGAGTGTGAGGGGGAGGCCTGGGTTGGCGGTGAAGGTTTGCTTTGACTCCTCTGACTACAAAAGCCTCCTTGGCAGAGAAGATATTTTAAAATGTCTAAACAAAACCTCTGTCTATGCAAATTCAAAACCATTCTGACATAAAATTAAAGCAATTCTTGCCATTATTTCTTAAAGGTCATGAATATGCCATAAAAGATGATCAAGGCATTAAATTCCTACAAGAGGTTAAGAGACATTAGATTTCTGGTGCTTCCATTTCTAAGGAAAACACCGACCATTAATTCTTATTATTGATAGTAAATGGTGGAAGCATCATCTGTTATCAGAACTGGCTGACAACTTCTGTTATAAAACCCACTTCTCAGCTGTCTTGACCTTTGCCAAACTTTACCTGGTTTGTCTGTGTTTTATAAAAGTTGAATGTTTGTTTCAAGCTTTCATTTTAAGTAACTGCTCTCAGCCAAAATAATCTGGAATAACTCATGAAGGGATAGATCTGTTATCCCATTTTGAATAGTATTTAATGCTTCCTCAATTCACAATCTCAAAAGCAAGACTGGAAATCTGATACTGACAGTTTTAATCAGTTCTCCAAAAAAGTCTGGGTGAATTAGAACAGTTTGGAAAATCTCAACTCAGGGCTCCCTGCAATTGCAGCAGACTAAGAAGGATTTAGGAAAAGAAAGGAAAGACGAAATTCTCCCTTGCTTTTCCTGTGAAGTTTCTTTGCTTGAAAGACTGTTTCATCTTGTGCAAATGCAAAGGAAAAAGAAGACCAATAGCAAATGGAAAAAACCATCAGGACTGGATAATAAAGTACCAGGGAAAAGACCCTGTAAGACTGGAAACTTCTCTGCCGCTGATGACATTCAGTTGTTAAAAATCAGACCTAGTACAGTACAGGGGTGTTGGTTACACCACTCCCAAGTAATTCGGGAGTTCAGAAGACACAAAAGCCATTCCATTTCTTTAAGGTGTAATTAATCAAAACTGAATATAACTGAAGAAAGTTCAGGAACTAATAATTAACTGGTAAGCAGGAATATACTAATACTCTAGAAGCACCTTCATAAAAATGCATTTGCCTGCATAACAAAAAGGTCCACGTCGATTTATTAATGAAGAGTGACCCTGCTGAAACACAGTGACTTTATATTTCCCCTTGGCCAACCTTAAAGTGTGTTGTATAGTCAGGAGCTAGAAATACTATGCAGAAAACTCACTCAAAGTTTTAGTCAGTTACTTATTTAAATGACATATTTAAGTTCCACAAAGCCCTTACCTTAAAAAAAACCAACACTGCAGAGTAACAGATGCCAAGTAAAAGCAAATATTTGTATTTTGGCACTATCTGAAATCCTTCCCATCTCCCTGTTTAGTACAGCCCTTATGAGGTAAACCACATCAAAGCCTGTTTTTTCCAGCACTCTCTTTAATTTATCTGCCTTCTCAAAGTAAACTCCACCAATCGATGCTAAATCGAGCTAAAACACAAACCAGTGGTTATTAAGCGAAGTTATCAATTACCCAACACAGACTCTCCAGTAACTCCCTACCTGTTGACGTCCCAGATTTTACTCGTGCTGTCCATGGAGGCAGAGGCCACAAAGTCCCCCTGGGAATGCCAGGAGCAGTCGTGGACAGCGCGGGCGTGTCCCCTCAGGGTCAGGATGCACCCGCGCCGGGAGAGGTCCCAGATCCGCACCGTGGTGTCCCCGCTCGATGTCACCAGCTGGGTGCCGCTGTCACAGGGAACAAAAAATAGCTGTTAGCAAGGATGTAGGTGAAGATGTTCTCAAGGCACACAGCAAAATAATTTAACTCTGTTTAGAAAGACAGGTTAAGCAGCAACTGATGTTGCATTACAATACATACAGACAAAAATCGTGTTTGAAAACATTCCTATTTTTACTTGACAGTTTTCTGACATCATAGATGAAGCAGTCACTTATTAAATATACTATCAAAAGACAAGAAAAGGAGATAGGAAGTAGCTATCTCCCACAGGAAAGTGAACACAGCTTCCAAAAATTACTTTCCTACTTTTTGTAGTCTATTTATCAACAGAGTTTATCAATAAAAGAACGTAAGCCCAGAGAACTGCTTTCAAAACAGAATAAGACAGATTCAGGGAAGAATATTTTCTTATTTCCCAAATTCATACCTTTCTGCATGTAAATTATTACAAGAAGCATCCCAGTTTTGTCTCTTCTACTCAGCATAAACACTTTTAACACATTCACTATCTCTCAGGGTCATAGATACGCCACATGAATGAAAAACACAGAGTTCAACTCAGACTTCTTGACCAAATCTTCAGCTAAGTACAATTCTGTTTCCTTTAAGCATGAACATATGGCTTCAGACTAAAAGTTCACCTGTAACATGTTCTATAACAACTAGCAGAAGATTCTTCATAAAAAGAAAATAATAAAAACAAGTATGTGGAGTGATACCCTTATTAAACTCTGCCAGCCCCAGCCTGTGGCTCAGGATTTCTTTGTGCTTAACAAGCATCCATGGAGGTTTTTTTCCCCCATGAGTAATTGATTTTTGAACACATGCAAACTTTTGGCACCCACAATCTCTTATGTCAACGAATTCCAGAATTTAATTATGCATTGTGTGAAAAGCTATTTTGGGGTCTTAAATACCTGACTCCATTTCACTCGATGCTTCTAATTCTAATACTGAGATTAAAAGTAAACACCTACTACACATTCACCATCTCTAACTGCGGTGCCAGCTGTGGTTTCAGGGCCCTGTTATATTTTACTGCAAAGCTGAAGATTCCTGCTCTGTCGACTCATTCCTCACACAGACACCATTCCAGCTCTTGGAGCACATTTACCATCTCTCTCAGCACCTTTTCAGCTGCAACTGAGGAAGCAGGTACCCAAGGAATGGATTTCCTGGTTTATTCTGTATTCTTTTAATTCAGTTAGGATTTTTGCCCCCCCCCCCCCCCCAAAGAAAGCGACCAGAGTGGCTCCAGGATTGCTTTCCTGAGTGCTAATAAATACTTTAGACTCCTTCTTATCTGTGGACAATTAGGGCCATTTTTTCTTATGTTCATCTGCACTGACTTTCATCTGCCACTTTACCATCAGGTCACCTGTTGAGACTGGAATCTTTTCCTGTAATTCTTCACTTGCTCCTTTTTACTGTCCTGGCTAATTGGCAACTCATTCACCTCATTCTTTTCCCCAAATTCCAAGATCATCTTAACTCAGATCCCTGCACAGATCCCCACGGGATTCAACGAATAATTTCTCCATTCTGAAAGTGACATTTTATTCCTGTCCTTTCACCAGTTTCTAAATTCACAAGATACATTTCCAGTTTATCCAGGACAGTTTTGCTTCCTGGGGAGTTTTTGTCAAACGACCTCCAGAAGAATTTACTGCAAATCCAAGTGTCCAAAATTCATGAATCTCCCTTGATCAAATGCTCAGCAAGCCCTTCCAAGAACTCCCAGGTGATTTCTGAGGCTTAACTTCCAAAGCCACACTGATACCCCCCAGGGCTTCACTGCAATAAATGTATCCATGAATCCTGTCATTTTGCTTCTTAATATGATTTCTATCAGCCTTCCCAATATAAAAGTTAGATCAATCCATCCAGAGTGCCTTCCTCCCAAACTCCTTTAAAATACTGAAAAAAAAGTTAATGCAGCCCTCCCAGGAACAATGGAGGTTTTCAATTGTGTTTAATAAACAAAAACAACAGCAACAACAAAACAACTCAGAAAAAAATACAGGTCAAAAATATTTAAACTGTAGGTTTCCAGACCAATTTCGGCTGTTATCTCAGCAACATCAGTAAGATGACCTTGCCTTTAGGATCCCATAAACTCTGGTTTTATTTGAATAATGGCAAAGGTGCTATCACAGGCAGCAGAAATCCTTCTCCCACATCCCTGGATATAAAACTGTGGGAAGTGAAAACAGCTCAGGGGTTGATTCTAAGCGCTACTGTAAAACCTGAAGCAAGAATATACTCTGAAATATTAGGTCACTGCTGCAGTTCATAAAAAAAAAAAAGAAAAAAGGGCAGGAAAAAAAAAAAAAAAGGAAAGAAGAAGGGGGGAAAAAAGGGTCTGGGACCTGTGGTGTCAAACCTGCTTTTTTATATTCTTCCCTTCCTCCTTTTCCAATAGATGTCCACCGAATTGCTTGGTAAAAGGAGCTACTAAGACAGCTTGAAATATGGGCATCATTTACCTGATAGATCTTAAGGGGGAACTTGACATTATGAAAGATCACCTACCGAAGTTTTTGACTATTTTTAACACCTATGGTTTAGACTGGTAATTTTTATGAAAATATCATTATAATCTTCATTAAGGCACTTACACCCCCATGCCTAAGACAAAGCTTTGAGAGATTAATCTCTCAAAAATTCTAACACTGCACAGGAATAATTCTGAAGCTTTTGTCACGTATCCCAGAGCACAAAGGTTTGAAGCCTGAGTAGGGGTTTGGGGGAGACCCTAATTTTGAAAAGCTGCTCGGAATAAATGTGCCTTTGTTAATGAAACACTTGCACTTCTAATAACTCAAGCTAGATCTCACTTCTGGAGACAGATAAAATTAGAGAAATGACAAATTATCATAGCCCTCATACATTTATGAAACGTGTAAGCTTAAAACAAATTCGGAGGCAGGTATAAAGTGGGACTGATGAAATCTGCAATTGATTCAGAGGCAAACATGTACTGCCACTGTTGAGAATCACAAGAAGAGATTTATAGCTTATACATTTTTTAATATATAATCCCCAAAATGCTACATGAAGAACTGGTACCTTGGGCTGAATTTCAAGAATACACCATCCAGGCAGTGATGAAAATCTTTCAGAAAACAGATATGAGCAGGCAGGTAGTTCAAATGGATTCAATTTGGCAATCTGCAGCAGGGGAAGGAGTTACAAATGAGGTTTAGCACTCCTTACAGATCAAAGGAGGAAAAAAGGGGGGGATTGAAAACAAAAGCACAGTTTGGACAGGAAAAAGGTTTTGAGGGATGGACTGATAGTGGAAGGAAGGGCAAAAACACTTGGGAAGAGCGGGCCCAGATGCCCCAACCCCTGCGACAGCAGCTCCTCACCAATCCCGGGGCACAGGGCAGCATCTCTTCAGCAAAGAAAGGGGAGCTGCACGGGCTGAGGATCTGCAGTTAAGCATGTAGGAATTAATGGCAGCTTTTCTGGGAAGCACCAACGGTGCTCAGGGGAATGATGGCTGTCAGAGCTGTTTTAGCACTGAGGAAATCCTCACCACACAGTCGTTTTCAAACCACATAATGAACCAAAAAAGTGCTGTGTCAAGCCAAGTCAGGCATCTAAATCAAAATTCTGCTAGGAGAAAAAAAATCCCATCTACTTAATAGCTGATCAATATTATATACTTTTTCTGATTTGAGGCCTTTTCTTGGTCCTGGGAGATAAAAGAAACACTCCAAATTCTGAGCTAATGTTTTGTTCCCCACAGCTCCAACAATTTTTTTTTTACAGTGCTTTTGTTCTGTTTAAGACCATGTTGGGGAGAAAAACAAATTTACCAGGAAAAGCAGTGGGTTTTAATGATTTAGGCTGGTTTAACAGTCTGTGGTACCCACACAGTCCTCTATTCCATGACTGATTTCCAAACAAAATGCATACTGATTTTTGTACTAAAAACATACGGAAATGTGACATCAGAAGCTCAGGCTTAATTACCAGCAGCTACATCCATAATCTCCACTTGAATTTAAGATTGATCACTAACAGGGAAAGCTCCAGCCAATCCTGTGCAGTGTGTGTATCTAACTCAGAGGAAAATAGACCACTCTAATTGTTTTTTAACAAACCAATCAAAGAACCAGACAACATATCAGGAGACAAGAAAAAGGTAAATCTCATCTTTTCTGTCACTTGAAACACATTCACACACATGCAAATAACTCTGCCATCTTTTAGAAATTTGGTGTTTTTGTAAAGAGAGTAACAGCACCTTTGTGTGCAGCGCTCTGTGGACTCCACCAGCTTGGTTTGTACAGTTTTGCTTGGTCTGTTTGGGTTTTTTTTTGTTTATACTTTCTAGCAGACCAAAGCACTATAAGGGATCAAACACAGATAGACCATTTTTTAAAAATACAAAATAAATAAAAAAGTTCTACCTTTCAACTGACTTGAGGTATTCCTAACTGATGCTGCAAACTGCCCTTCCAGAGACAATTAGAGCAGAAAAAACTTTGGAAACATTAATTCTGCATTCCATGAAAGGGGACGGAACATTAACTTCTTGAGCCTTAAATCCTTCCTCCCTCGTATTCTAAACACAAACACATTTCCTTTCTTTAGACATTCCTGCTTCTCCCAGCTTCACTGTTCTCACTACAAGATGCCCCTCCATTAACACTTCCCAAGTTGTAGACGTATCAATAATTAAAACTCATATTCAGCAACAACACGAGCCTTTGGCACAGAGTCAGTTCACAACATTTCAGGTGACTGATCACCTTTCTGGAATAGCAGGCAAATGAAGGCAACAGCTACCCCTATAGTGCTCCCCTGGAAATATATCAATTGTCACATCAGCAAAGGCAGCTTCAAATCTTGCCCCTGGCTCAAATATTTCCAGAGGATGGACTTAGATCTGAACCTTGACCAGGGGATTGCTCAGGTTACTCCTGAAGCTGCTGAGGAACATCACCTGCCAAGCAGGACCACATGCCCCATCCTTCAAAATCCACAAGGATTG